AAAAAAAAAAACCATCGTATAGCCAAGCGGGCATACACTTTAAGTGTATTATATTTAGAAGGAGTATCGCCTCGCGGCTATACGATTTATTTTAAAAAAATTATAAATAAAGGACCCTTCTATTTACATTAGTTTATACTTTATAGATATTAATTTGCTAGTTTCGGTATATATGCTTTATAGATTTAAATTTTTTTACTAGATATTATTTTTATTCAGTACTATGCAAAAATTAAGTGTATAGTACGTGAATTTTTTGTGAATTATTAAAAATTTTGTAAAAAAATCAAGTCTATTAAAAATGAAAAATACGTACGCACATGTACAATACAAGTATTAAACGTAAAAATACTAAATTATTTATAAGCATAATAACTCTGGAAAAGTAAAAACTCAAAAGGGGACAATAGAGATTGGGGTAATGACCTAGTAGTAATAGATAATGCTCTAAACTATTGGTAAACAAAAATAGGGGAAAACATTTTTTTGAAAAAAGATCACATCATCTATGTAAAGAGTATTGCCGAGTGGCTATGCTATTTATTTTTTAAACAAATTTAAACAAATGACCCAGTAAGGCCGCGCGGCTATACCATTTGTTAAAAAATAATAACCGTTCCAGAGCCGCGAAGGAGTATAGCCATTCGGCTATACGATTTATCTATTAAAAAAAATGGTCAGGCTGCACGGCTATACTCTCTTATCATATTATATTTAAAAGGCATATAGCCACATGGCTATACTATTTGTTATAAAAAAAAGTACCCATCTATTTGCATTAGTTTATACTTTATAGATACTAGCCTCTCCACACGCGCTTTCGCGCCTGCCAGAGGCTTTTAAAAATAATAATAAATAGATGAGAGGCTTTTCTTAAAAAAAATTAAATTAAATTTATTTTAGAATTAAAAAAGATAATGGGTAGTTGTGTTACATAAAAATAGGATTCATTATCTGATTTTTCTTTTAATTTTAATTTTTAAAATATGAAAAAGTGTGAATTTACCATATTATCCTTATTTAATTAATAATTTTAATTCTTAATTTTTGGATTAACCAAGGACATTTTTGGGTATTTTGAATGTTTCACCATTATCTGCCTTTTGCTTTATATATATAGATTAATTATAAAAAAGGACCCTTTTATTTGCTAGTTTCGAGATATATATATACTCTTTAAATATATTATATTTGAAAACTAAAGCCACGAGGCTATACTATTTATTTAAAAAAAAATTAAGAAGGGCCCCAGTATAGCCACGACGATAATCTTTAAATATATTATATTTGAAACATATAGCTGCGCGGTTGTACTATTTATTTAAAAAATTCAAAAGGGCCCAAGTATACCTGCACACTTTACTATTTATTTACAAAAATTAGACAAGGACCCAAGTGTAGCCGCTAGGCTATACTAGTGTCTTTTTAAAAAATTTAAATTAAAAAACCTCACTATATAGATTGCATCTTTCTTCTTCCATGGCCATGGCCTAGAACCTCAAACCCACTATTTCCTTGTCCCCCCTCCTCAAGTAAGAAATGATCTTAACCTATCATATTCTTTCATAGTTAGTAAAATATGGAACAGAATATGGACATGTTTTATTTCCCAAAATTTTGGCAAGTTACAAATGAAAATTCGGTCACTATATAATATTTAAATATATATATATATTTTTCAATAATGTGTGAAAATTATGTGTACAATATGTGAACTTTGTTTGTATTTATGAAAATTTTGTAAAAAAACATGTGTATTAAACATGAAAAATACAAACGCAGTGTATTGTATGTTTGCTCTTTAAAAAAATATGCATTTTACCGAGTCTTTAAGGCGTGTATGGGAAACGGAAGTATTATGAAAAAATACGTATGTACGTGTATAATACGAGCATGAAATGGAAAAATGCTAAATTTTTTATATGGGTAATAACTCTAGAAAATTAAAAAGATCAAAGAGGGACAATAGAGATTCGGGTAATGACCTAATAGTAATAGATATTATTCTAAACTACTCTTATCGATAAACAAAAATCAAGGAAAATATTTTTTATATTTTTTATTTTTAGGATTTTCAGCTGTTTTACCCCTTGAATTATGACCATTGTAGAAATTAACCCCCTAAACTAAAAAAATCAACCAATTTAGTCTCTGAACAAAAAAAATATAGCCAATTTCATCCATACCGTTAGATGTTTTCACATTTCATCCACAGTTCTGTCAATAATGTCACGTAAGGCGTACGTGGAACTAAAGTAGAGGGCAATTTCGACCTTCAAGATGCGGATCCAAGTTGGACCCAACCTCAACCTCCTCCCTTAAAGCATTATTTTACAGAATGAGTTTTATTTTCAGACTAATATATATATATATATATATATATATGTTCCAAGTTATTAGTAGCTAGGCAGCTAAGCCAGTAGTAGTTTAGTTCAAGTCGGGGCATGAAGCTATAGGTTCTATTTTCGATTGTGAGATAGAGGTCAGAGGCCCCCTGTTATATTGGTAGCCATGCGTGTTAATAGATCTTCTTCTATACTAGTAGTAGGAGTAATGAGTAAATCGGTTTCTTAGGCAAGTTTTTGTTTCTTTATTATAAGGATAAGCACGGTTATTGCTCTTTGTACTAAGCAAATGTAGGCTTGGGCTTGAAAGCAATAGAGCAACGGATTAAGAACTAGCGCGAAAGCCGTT